TAGAAAAGTGATATTAAAATGCGAGTTTAACCAGATAAAAATCCCGAGTTTAAACAAATCACCAGACAAACCACCAAATGCAAGAACAGAAAAAACAATAATAATAATAATAATTAGAAAATTAAAATGAAAAAAAAAGATAAGAAAACTTATCGCAGGATCGCCCGTTAAAACGGACTGGCCTTAAAGAAAGATAGCCCCGTATCCCGATAGCTATTCGGACGGGTCTGGCTAGCTCGCTCCCAGGATAATCCTACCACGTTTCAGACTCGTAGCTACCTTGACTGAAACCTTCGACCGTTGCCAAATTTGCCGATTAATAGAGTTAACTTGAAAGGATATGATCGACAGCAAATATTTCTTTTCGGAAAGGAGAAGCAATACAAATTAAAGAAGGCAATTCAAATGCTCCTTAATAAACTAAAGGTTATTGAGTGGGAAAGAGAGGTACTCTTCTTTCTACGTAAGTAATGTTTCGAGCCTGGAAAAGGACCTCCTGTATATACGAAAAACAAATAGAGATGCAACAGATTGTTTTCAACGGAAATCAGCATTTGATGTTCATCAAATGCATGAAACGGAAATCATGACTTTAATGCTAATCCAAAACATTAAGCACCATTATGGATATAACGGCTGGATCAATTCAAGCAGCTCATTTCAATTTTGAATTCAAAACTGAATACATTAGCTGCCATGCACGTTTTATTTTATTATTTAAAATAAAACTGCTCGGATTAAGCTAGTCTCAATTTTTGTCAAAACGCAAGCAATCCTCAACTCAAGTTATTTTAAATGATACTTGAACAATGTTCCTTATCAGATAAAATAATTTGCTATGGGAACTTTTATTTTATAGGTGACAAAAATTCATCATATTAATACATCACTTTACAGCCGTTACAACTATGGATTATTTTGTTAGTTACTACGTATAATCCAATCAGTAAAAGTTGTACTTTGATATATATATATACATATACACACACATATATATATATATATATATATTATTTTCAATCATATTTGACACATTTATCCTTGGGATTCATAAATGAATCCCCTTAAAATATATTTTTCCATCATATTTCCAACAATCCCCCACAAATCCATAGTTGTAGACTCAACTCTAGAAGACATAGTGTGCTTTCAAATATGGTACCTTCCGGTTTGAACCAAATTCTAAGCTCTTACCCCTAACCCCCACAGGAACTGAGTGAACAGAGTTCTTGAACTCGAACCTTGATTGTGTTGGCGTGGAATAAAAGCAACCCACTAACGGCAATGGCAACGATCTATAGGGGTGACGCTTTACGGCCGTGCATCCGATCCTGTCTCAAGAATGTCATCGAGAATAAACCCACATTCTCTTATTGCGGCCACACAATAACATTCTCATAGTTGGGCATCTCCAAGAGTGCATTGCTAACACTCTGCTATTAAAGCTTGATCCCATTCAGAGTCTTAAACTCTTACTAACTTAGCAATTTCAGCATCTCTAAGGCTTTTCAAGGAATGAAACTCATAAAATTATTTTAATGAGATGCACAATTCACTCTACGGTTTGTTTATACCACATTGAACCTACTTTATGGGATCTCCACTCAGATAGGTTGGGTTGCTACCGTAGATGAATAATTATTGGGTTTCAGTCCCATTCCTAACCTCAATTTTATCACTTGATTTAAATCAAGTCCTTTTGTTAACGGGTCCGCTGTATTATCTTTGGATCCAACAAAATCAACAGCAAACACCCCTTGAGACACAAATTTCCTTATAGTTTTTAATCTAACTTGAATGTGTCCACTAGTCTTTTGATTATACTTGGTACTCCTAATTTTTGCAATTGTACTCATACTATCACAATGCAAACAAATAGGTGGAATTGGCTTGCTGAATATAGGTAACTCGGACATTAGTCCCTTAAACCATTCAGCCATAATTCCTGTAGTATCCAACGCACATAATTCAGCCTCAAAAGTAGACCGAGAAAGTACAGTTTGTTTAGTGGACTTCCAAGCAACAGCCCTAATGGATAGTCTACCCGGGGGGTATCTTATCCGAGGGGTTATCGTGGGAATAACTAGAGAGAAGTCAGAGTAAATAGGAGGAGAGAGAGTCGATTTTATTAAATGAACTCAGCATGTGGAGTTGGGATGTAGATGATGTAGATTACAAGGAGAAATGGGCTGCTATTTATAGCAGCAATAAATGCGATGGGAGTACACGTGTCAGTAATCCAACGGCCGAAGGGTCACATCAGCCGGTTGGCACCAGCAGTGGTACGTCCACCGTATTGAATGTGGTTGGCGGACGTGACGTGGCATTAAATGCGGTGATTGGCTGTCCCTAAAAGGAATCTTCGACGATTGAGTGTGCTTGGCCGAGGGCTCCTTATGTTGCCGAGGGCTCTATGTAGCCAAGGATCCCTGTGTAGCCGAAGGCCCTGTGTGACCGGAGGCATGGTTTAGCCGGGGGCTTCTCTGATGCCGAGGGCTCGATAATGCCGAAGGCTCACGTTTTTCGCCGTTTTCTCCCAGTAGCCTCTTATGCCAGAGAAGGCTACCCTGTGAGGTTTGGAGCCTTCGGCCAAGGAGGCCGAAGGCACCCCAGTGCGTATTCCGGGCTACGTTGAGGCTTGGGCCGCTGCATTTTGGGCCTGAGTTGTTCCCTGGGCCCAATGAACTTGTGTAGGAGAAGTAGGAGTCTATGGGCCGGGGGTTCCTGGGCCATATACTCCATCAAGCCCCGCCACCAAACGTAAACACATAGCCGGTACACCCCATAACTCCTGGAGTTCTTAGCTATCCAGCTTGCATCACTATATCCTTCAAGAACAGGAGGATACTTACCATAATGCAAACCCAAGGAAATAGTTCCTTTCAAGTATCTAAATACTCTATCTAAGGCCTCCCAATAAGTTCTGTTTGGACAACAAGTGTATCGACTAAGTTTAGACACTGAAAATGCAATATCAGGTCTAGTACAGTTAGCTAAGTAACCCAAGCTACCAATCATCTGAGAATATTTTAATTGAGACACAGGAACACCACTTTCATTTTTGTACAAAGCTACAGAAGGATCATAGGGTGTTTTAGCAATTCTACTATTTTTAAATCCAAATTTCTCAATTAATTTTTCAATATAATGAGACTGAGAAATAGAAATGCCTTCAGTTGATCTAGTCAACTTTAGCCCAAGAATTACTTCCGCCACCCCCATATCCTTCATTTCAAACTTTGTTTTTAAAAATGACTTAGTCTCAAAAATAATATTATCATTAGTGCCAAATAATAATATATCATCAACATATAAGCATAAAATAACACTTACATCACCTTTACATTTATAATAAACACTTTGATCAGCATCTATAAGAGTAAATCCAAACGAATAAATTATTTTATCAATTTTTTCTTTCCATTGCTTAGGGGCTTGCTTAAGTCCATATAAAGACTTAACTAATTTACAAACTTTTCTCTCATTGCCTTTTGCCACAAATCCCTCAGGCTGATCCATATAAATTTCTTCTTCAAGGTCACCATGAAGAAAAGCTGTCTTAACATCCATTTGATGAATTTTAAGACCATATACGGATGTCACTGCTATAAGCATTCTTATTGTGGTCATTCTTGCAACTGGAGCATATGTATCGAAAAAATCAATACCTTCTTTTTGTTTGTAACTCTTAGCAACTAATCTGGCCTTATATTTATCAATGGTTCCATCTGGTTTTAACTTCTTTTTAAAAATACATTTACATCCAATAGTAGTACAACCAGGAGGAAGGTTGACGAGCTCCCATGTTCCGTTTTGAACAATAGAGTCCATTTCACTTTTAATGGCATCCTTCCAATACCTGGCCTCAGACGTGGCCATCGCATCTCTAAAGGAAATTGGATCACTCTCAATATTGTAAGTGATAAAATCACTTCCAAAATCCTTAGTGATCCTAGCTCGTTTGCTTCTTCTCAGCTCATCTAGATCATTTGATTCAAAATCAATATGACTCGAACTACCAGATTCTACCCCCACATTTGTCATCTTTTCCACTTGATTGGGAATTGAATTAAATGTGGTTTCTTGATGTTTAAAAGAAGTATTTTGGGGCACACCCGTTTTCATAGGAAAAACATCTTCAAAGAAAGTAGCATCACGAAGTTCTACAATAGTGTTAAAATCTATGCCGGAAATTTCAGATTTAATAACCAAAAATCTCAATGCATAAGAGTGTTCAACATAACCAATAAAAATAGAATCAACAGTTTTAGGCCCAAGTTTCTTTCTTTTGTGTTCAGGGACTAATACTTTTGCAACACAGCCCCACACTTTAAAATATTTCAAACTTGGTTTTCTGCCCGTCAAGAGTTCAAATGGACACTTATCTTTATGTTTCATGGGAATCCTATTCAGAATATGGCATGCCGTATTCAAGGCTTCCCCCACATAAACTTAGGTAATCCAGAGCTCTCTAATAAACTGTTAATCATATCTTTAAAAGTTCTATTTTTCCGTTCAGCTACTCCATTTGATTGTGGTGAATAAGGAGGTGTTTCCTCATGTACTATACCATATTTTTGGCATTCCAGTACAACTAAATTAGAAGTATACTCTCCTCCCCTATCAGATCTTAACCTTTTAATTTTCTTGCCAGTTTGATTCTCTATTTCATTCTTAAAAATTAAGAATTTTCCAAGAGCTTCATCTTTACCCTTAAGTAGATACACATAGCAATATTTAGAATAATCATCAATAAAAGTGATAAAGTATTTCTTTTGGTCACGAGTAAGCACTCCATTAAACTCACAAATGTCGGTATGAATTAAATCAAGTAATTCTGAATTTCTATCAATTGAATGATAAGGTTTTCTTACTTGTTTAGTAGTAGCACATACCAAACATTTCTTAGTTTTATCAATAGAGTGTTTAGGGATTAAATTTAAATTCATCATTCTTTTTTTTACAGAATCTAAATTAACGTGACCCAAACGACAATGCCATAAACAAGAAGAATCACAATTCTCAGATATATAATTTAATTCAAAATAATCAACCACAATCTTAAAAAGTCCATCCGACAAGTAACCCTTGCCAATAAAAGTTCTGCCAAATAAAATTACAACTTTATTTAATTTAAAAGATAGCTCATAACCCTCCTTAACAAGAATGGAACCACTAACAATGTTCCTTCTAATTTCGGGAACGTGATGCACCCCATGCAAAGATAGAATTTTTCCCGAAGGAAATTTAATTTCTACTTTTCCAATTCCTTGCACACTTGCAGCACTTGTGTTCCCCATCATCACTGTTCTTCCAACCGCAGGCTGATAAGAAACAAAGAGCGATTTATCAGCACATACATGCACATTCGCTCCCGTATCTATTAGCCACTCATTGGAATTATAAATAGTGAAAATTTGAGGATTAATAGAAATGTACCCATTAGAACTAGTCCCTCCCGTCACCATGTTGACTTGAGGTCCCCCAGATTGAGCCTTAGCCTTTTTGTTAGGACACAATTTGGCCCAATGTCCCATCTGTCCACAGTTCCAGCATGGTCGGTTTGCCTTTGGTTTCTTTGCAATTTTTAGTTTGGCCTTTATGGGTTTAAAAGATGGTGATTGTTTATTTTTAGAATTATGTGCTTGCTTTCCCTCAGTTATAACATGAGCCTTCGGTTGAAATTCAACAGGCCCAATATAACCCGCTTTCTTATGCTCCTCCTCAACAGTAATGGAATGCATCAAAGATTTCCAAGTGATCTTTTTCATTTTATGTTTTAAAGTCATACCAAAATCTTCCCATGATTTGGGAAATTTTTCTATGACCGCCATCACTTTAAATTTTTCAGGCAATTCCATATCCGCTTCACGAATAGAATGTAAGATAAACTCAAATTCTTGTGTTTGTTCTAACACCGATTTACCTTCTTTCATGTCAAATCGTAGGAATTTTGAAACAATATACTTTTCAAGACCATGGTCCTCAGTATTATATTTCTTATCCAACTCATCCCAAAGGTCCTTAGCCGTGCCGTGGAGGGTGCAACAGACATCAAATAACATGTTGGAGAGACCCAACAAAATCATGCCTTTTGCAATTTCATCCCTCTCACGCCATAAAGTTTGGCGTTCAAGACTTTTGGGATCTGATTCAACAACGGGGGGGCACACCGTCATAATTACCGAGAGCAAGCCCTTGGTGATTAACCAAATTTTCATACGTTGTTGCCAACGCTTGAAAAAATGCCCAGAAAATTTTTCTGGCATTCCAGTTAAATCAACCCTTTGCGAGCCCGAAGCAACATAGTCAAGTGTGTCTCCACAATTAGTCACAGACACATTATTTTCAGGGATTTCATTCACATTATTCTCAACAACAATATTTTCGGAAACTGCATTTTCCAAGTTTGCCAATTTGGATTTTCCAAAACTCGAGAAATAATATCTTTCTTCAAGATTGTTAGAAAAGTGATATTAAAATGCGAGTTTAACCAGATAAAAATCCCGAGTTTAAACAAATCACCAGACAAACCACCAAATGCAAGAACAGAAAAAACAATAATAATAATAATAATAATTAGAAAATTAAAATGAAAAAAAAAAAGATAAGAAAACTTATCGCAGAATCGCCCGTTAAAACGGACTGGCCTTAAAGAAAGATAGCCCCCGTATCCCGATAGCTATTCGGACGGGTCTGGCTAGCTCGCTCCCAAGATAATCCTACCACGTTTCAGACTCGTAGCTACCTTGACTGAAACCTTCGACCGTTGCCAAATTTGCCGATTAATAGAGTTAACTTGAAAGGATATGATCGACAGCAAATATTTCTTTTCGGAAAGGAGAAGCAATACAGATTAAAGAAGGCAATTCAAATGCTCCTTAATAAACTAAAGGTTATTGAGTGGGAAAGAGAGGTACTCTTCTTTCTACGTAAGTAATGTTTCGAGCCTGGAAAAGGACCTCCTGTATATACGAAAAACAAATAGAGATGCAACAGATTGTTTTCAACGGAAATCAGCATTTGATGTTTATCAAATGCATGAAACGGAAATCATGACTTTAATGCTAATCCAAAACATTAAGCACCATTATGGATATAACGGCTGGATCAATTCAAGCAGCTCATTTCAATTTTGAATTCAAAACTGAATACATTAGCTGCCATGCACGTTTTATTTTATTATTTAAAATAAAACTGCTCGGATTAAGCTAGTCTCAATTTTTGTCAAAACGCAAGCAATCCTCAACTCAAGTTATTTTAAATGATACTTGAACAATGTTCCTTATCAGATAAAATAATTTGCTATGGGAACTTTTATTTTATAGGTGACAAAAATTCATCATATTAATACATCACTTTACAGCCGTTACAACTATGGATTATTTTGTTAGTTACTGCGTATAATCCAATCAGTAAAAGTTGTACTTTGATATATATATATATATATATATATATATATATATATATATATATATATATATATATATTATTTCCAATCATATTTGACACATTTATCCTTGGGATTCATAAATGAATCCCCTTAAAATATATTTTTCCATCATATTTCCAACACACTTTTCCTCATCCTTGGTTTAAATGCACCTCGTAGTTAGTCCAAGATCACAATAGACTGAACTTAAATAGACTAGACTAGACTTAAATAGATAAGACTAGAGTTGGGTCCGGGCGGTACCGGCTTGCAATAGAGGAGCCCGGTATGTTTCCGTTCCGGTCTAGCCCAAACTGTACGGGGCCCGAGTCTGAACCCACCCATTTAATTTTTTTTAAAAGTAACCTTTTAAAAAATTAAGCCTGAAGCCCGCTCCTGATAACCACCAGTCCAGTTATCGGGCCTGGGTCGGGATCAACAGTACTGGTCATGGGTCGGTTCCCGGTCGTGCCGTCGGAGCCCAATCCATCCCTAGATCATACTTGAGATGGATTGGGCCAGGCTCCGGGCCGGGTCAGACACGGCTCTGGGTTCGAAAAAATGAGTCCCGGTACTAGCCCGGTTATATATCGGGACCAGTCGAGGTCGTGGTGACCCAACGGGCTTCAAGTCGGGTCTGGGTCGGTCCGGGCCTAATATTTTTTTTTCACGAGTGCTACAAAAAATTTCAATGCATATATATTGAAATATGAAGCACAATTGCAAGTATAGTTCATAGCCTATTTTAAATAAGCAGGAAAAGTCACATCTTGCATACGCCACATGGTGATTTGCCTTCAAATGCCTTTCCATGCCTCTGTATCCATGCGAAATTCCCAAGGAATTTTTTTCGTTACAATGGTAGCAAGTTTCCCACCACATCTTGCTAGTCATTTCCTTCCTGTTTGTGTAATTATTTTTCATAAAAGGAGATTGACTTTTCTTATTTACCAACCCCAACCCTCCTCCCCAACAGCTCTATAGCAGTTGCCAACGGCTAGGAGCCACCCCCCATCCCAGAATGATTTTAAAAGCTAAAATACATTAAATTTTGGCCGTTAGGCCCGGACCCAGCCAGGCCGGGCCGATTCTTTCTTTTTTAATCCCAGAGCCCGCCCGTTTATAAAACCGGTTCGGTCCTCTGGCTTGGTCCCGTTGACCGTGTCGGATTGGGTCGGTCCTCTAGCAGACCCGAACCAGTCCACCCCTAGATCAGATTAACCCTGACTATGACAATGGTAAAATGTACAGAGACCATAAATCTACCAGACCCATTCAGACAAGATAAAACCAAACTTAAATAGATCAAACCAGATTATAAAATTTTAGTCTAAATAAAAACATATTTACTAGCAAAGACAATGTAATGTATTAATGAACATATGAATTTAGTGCATTTTATATTAAGTATGTGTTTGGAGCAAAGAGATGTAGTTTGAGACTATTGTCTGAATCAAGAATTATGTTATTCTCTTAATTGAATTAAAAACTATAGTTTGGAACTCAAGTATGAAGTACTGAATGTAAACTATTTGCCGAATAGAATAGATTTGTTTAGCAAAAAAAAGTTAAAAGAATGTCTTGGAATTGTAAAATCACATTAAAGGGTTATTTGATGTTGCATAGGTATCACAATCCTAACATTGCACTTGAATTTGTATAATTATGCAGTTTTTTGCTAAGCTAATTTTTATTAGCATGCGGATCCTATTGAACAATTTTTTAAAAAAAATTATAAGTTAATAAATAAAATGTAATCAAAGTAGAATATGTGAATAGTGTAAAATTCAAAATGTTGCAATTAAATAAGTTGAGGATAATATTTTTTTTTTATTTTTTTCTTATTTTTTTTAACCCGGTAGGCAAACCACCAAAATCAGTGGGGCAAACTCCGGGGAACGTTTGCCAGATATTATTAAAATAAAACTAAGTACAACATGTGAGGCGAACCAACCCAACCTCCAAAAGGGCATCCCCTTTCAGCAAATAAGTAAAAAAACACCACCAGAGCAGAAAATATCGAAAATCAAAACACATAGGGTACCGACTCAGCATCAAGTTTTAGGGCCTGTTTACTTGTAACTTAATGGACTTAATGGATATTGTGTATTAATCATTCAGCTATATATGCATGTTTACTTGTGACTTTTTAAAAAAATTGACTTATTCGCGCAGACGTAGGATAACTTAATCGTTCAGCTAAATTTTAGCACTTCTTCAGATTCAGACGTGTATGTACGGGAGGAGTCTCTTTTTTAACCCTTCTTCTTCGTTCGTTTATTTCACAGCTCCCATCACAATTCTCTCTTCAACCCTACGAACTTCAGCGATTGGAGTACCCACGAAGCTATCACGAAAGCAGCAAAGAGGAATCCCATCCCCTACCTTCTTCATCTTCATATTTCCTCTGAATTTATATCTGTTTTATATTTTTGATCTTTTTTAAATTGCGGCTCTTCTCCTTATCCACAATCTGATTGTTCTCTTCGTAAATAGTATACTTTCGATTTTAAGATATAATATCGCTATATGTATGTTATGTTGCTTTTCAATTGTGAAATTAAAATCGATGTTTAAGCTATGCCATTGAAGACCACGATGCATCAAACACCTTATACTTCGTATTTTGATATTCGATTGAAAATCAGGTGGCTTAAGATTTTCTTGAAGGAAAAAGTTAAGAGTTAGTTAAACAAATGGAGAGTAATTAGTAATTACAGATGAAGAGCAACTACGAATTACAAACAAAAATAGAAGGTTAAGGAAGTGGAGAAGATGATATTATTAATAGATTAATGGAAAATGTGGTATATTTAATAAATTTTGTGATATCGAAATATCATTCAAAGTAACAAAAGTAAGCATTATATATTCAAACACTTGTAACAGATAAAAGGGTAAATCAGTAATTTAATATCATTCAGACTCCACATTCAGCACACATGGTAAACAGCTTAGTATCACAGTGTCACTTAACCCAGACAGACGTCTTAATATAGACAGACATCTTAATCCATACAGGACTTAATGGGAAAAAAAGTAAACAACCCCTTAGAGCCCCTCCCATACTTCTTGGAATTAATTCACCCTGGCTCCATGAAAAAGGTCGAGACAGGCCCAATCCAGCCACCTTCTCAACTGTTCTATTTGCTTGGGCTGGTATAAATGAAAGTGTCCAAGCCCGACCCAGATTGGAGCAGCCCATCTCTAGAATCTTCAAATAGGAAACATCAACCACAACATTAGGAAAACTCAGCCCTTCCGTCCATCTCATTGCCTGTGTAAAGACCTCCTCCTCTCCCATTGTCGAACCGCTCAACGGAAAGCCCTCTGCAGCAATCATCTCCCCCGCGTGGTCACGAAGCAAGAAACCAGAGGCAGATTTTCCATATTGACGAAAAATACACCAATTAAGCTTCACCTGCGACCTGCCCGGTTTGACCCACCTGAAAACTTGTGGCATTCTGCTCCTGAAATTGAAAGGTATCAATCCTAGCTTTTTAATCCTTTCATTTCCTTTTAGCTAATCATGCGCAGCACACCAATTTAACATGAATTTGCATATTTGATGAACCAAACGACGCTGGTCTGGTATGGATTCGTTGAAGACTGTATCCCAATACGCCTTCCACAAATGCCAAGTGATAACTCCAGGTAAAATTGCTGCATATATTGAGTCCATAGTTTTACCCGAAACCCCAATCCACCATTGCATTAACTTGAGCTTAATAATATATGCTGATCCATTTCCTATTTGCAGTAACAAATCAAAGTACTCCCAAACTGAAGCTGCAATAGGGCATTTAAGCAGCATGTGATCCTGAGAAACACTTTCTCTCTTGCACCAAGGACACTGGGTAGGGTACACAACAGCAAAATTAGCAAGCCTCTCTGGAAATGGCAGCCCCTTGTGCCAAAGCCTCCACAGGAAAATCTTTATCTTTGGTACCTGTTTAGGATTCCAGATATTAGTTGTTGATAATGTTTTACCCCCTTGAGCCCATAAGGCTTTGTAAGCAGATTTTGTTGTAAATTGTCCATCCTTAGCATGCTTCCAGACCACCGATTGAGAGCCCATTACAACCATAGTTTCAGCTTCTTCAGAAATGAAACTAATTCTTCTCCAAGTTGGAGAATCAGTGCATTTAACCTCTCATGGGGCTCTCCTTTCATATTTACTTCTCATGAGCTCAGCCCACATGGAACCCCCTTGCTGAAGCTCCCACCGGAGTTTCATTGCTGTAATTTTCTGAACATCACTGATAGATCTTAGACCCACTCCCCCACACTCAATGGGCTTACATAACTTCTTATATTTAATCCAATGATGTTTAGCTACCTGGTTGTTACTTCCCCAAAAGAAATCTGTCACCTGTTGTTCAAAGCCTATGAAATACTATACGAATGTATAATAAAACTTGAGAAGAAAAAGAGGTATTCAAAACTCAACTCACAAAACTAATAATCAATAGGCTTTATATAGCCTTTACAAGAATGAAAACAACCAAGCACGTATAACAACTATCTCCTATAATTATGCTAAGCCAAGTATTCAAATACGTGAGTAAACAAAGACCAAATCAAATGCCTAAACTCTAGCTAACCACTTAGATTTATTCAAAACAATAGTAATCAATAATAAAGAATAAACGAAGCAATATTCCAAGTGTGCATGGCCTTGAACTCCTTCGTATGCAAGCTTGATCATACTTTCAACACCTCCCCTTGATCCAAGCTTGTCATCCCAATCCTTTTCATGAAAAAATGATGCTTAGCTTGAGGTAAAGCCTTAGTGAACAAATCTGCATTCTGAAACTCAGTTCCACAGAATTGCAGTGCTATTTTTTCCTCAGCTACAAGCTTCCTAATGAAATGATGCTGCACATCTATATGCTTTGTTCTGGCATGAAAAGCTGGATTCTTTGCCATTGCAATGGTGGACATGTTGTCACACCAAATCTCTGGAATTTCTTGTTGTTCACAGTACAGATCCTTCAGTAACTTCTTTAGCCATAATGCTTGTTTTGCTGCAGCTCCTGCAGCAATATACTCTGCCTCTGAGGTAGATAAAGCAATTGTATCTTGCTTCTTGGAACTCCATGTAATAGCTCCAGAACCAAGATCAAATACTGAACCCGAGGTGCTTTTTCTATCATCAATACAGCCTGCCCAATCACTATCAGTATAGCCTCTAAGTTTGAAGTGTTTAACACTCTCATACCATATTCCAAAGCCTAGAGTTCCTGCCACATATCTCAGAATTCGTTTAGCTGCACCAAAGTGCTGCTTAGTGGGATAATGCATATACCTAGACACAACACTAACACTGTGTGCAATGTCAGGTCTAGTGTGTGTTAGGTAGTTCAGTCCCCCAACTAGGCTTCTGAATGATCTTTCACTTGCTTTCTCAGTTCCATCACATTTCTGCAGCTTCTCATTGGTATTCATAGGAGTTTTTGCTATCTCACAATTCTCCATATGAAACCTTTTGAGTAAATCCATAGCATACTTTCTTTGGCACAAAAAAGTCCCCTCCTTTTTCTGTTTCACTTCCAGGCCAAGAAAGTATTGCAAGACCCCTAGATCAGTCATTTCAAACTTCTGCTTCATTGAACTCTTGAAATCTTGCTTCTTTATGTAAAGTGTTGGCTCATTATCACTCCTAATGAATCCATTAGTAATGAAAAATGAGTCAATCTTACTGTACCATGCCCTTGGAGCCTGCTTTAAGCCATAGAGTGCTTTCTTCAGTTTGTACACCTTCTCAGGTTCATTCTTCTTCTCAAAACCCTGAGGCTGTTCAACAAACACCTCCTCCTGAAGTTCTCCATTTAAGAAAGCTGACTTCACATCTAACTGGAACACAGGTAACCTCCATTGTGCAGCTAAAGCTAGGACAACCCTCACAGTTTCAAACCTGGCAACTGGTGAGAAGGTTTCCTCATAATCTATGCCTTCTTGCTGAGCATAGCCTTTGACAACCAACCTGGCTTTGTGCCTAGAAACACTTCCATCCGGGTTGCATTTTGTTCTATAGACCCATTTTAGGCCTATAGCCTTTTTTCCTTTGGGCAGACTTACTAGCTCCCAAGTCCCATTCTTCTCTATAACACTGATTTCCTCTTCCATAGCCTTCTGCCATTCAGGCTGAGCAACAGCCTCATCAAAACCTGTGGGTTCTGCAGCAACTAGAGCAAAATCACAATTTTCATAGATATCAACCAATGTTCTTACTCTGCGTGGAGGAGATTCACTTGATTCACTTGATGATGATGAAGGAGAGCTCTGGTTGCTTGAAGAAGTAGATGAACTATGTGGAGTTGAGGGAGGACTAGGCTGTGGAGGGTCCACAGGAGGCTCATTAGACCCTTTTACATTGACTATTCTTCTCAAGCTTCCATCAGTTTGTTTGGTTTGATTCCAATCCCACTTTGCATCCTCATCAAAGACTACATTCCTGCTTATAACCACTTTGCTTGTGAGTGGGTTATACAGTCTGTAAGCCTTTGACTGAGTTGAGTAACCAACAAAGATGCACTTCTCTGCTTTAGCGTCTAACTTGGTTCTCAGATTTACCAAGGTATAGGCAATGCACCCAAATGTTCTTAGGTGATTAACTGAGGGCTTCTTCAGTCTCCAAGCTTCAAATGGTGTTGAATTCATCACAGCCCTAGTAGGTGAGATATTGAGAATATAAACAGCTGTTGCAACTGCCTCACCCCAGAATGAGTTAGGCAGCCCTTTAACCTTCATCATACACCTAGCCATTTCAACAATGGTTCTGTTTTTCCTCTCAGCTACCCCATTTTGCTCATGGGTATATGGTGCTGTAAGTTCCCTTCTAATCCCCTGATCATCACAATATTGATTAAACTCTTTGGAGACAAACTCTCCACCCCTGTCAGTTCTTAGGGCCTTCACTTGCAGTCCACTTTGCTTCTCCACCAATGCTTTAAACTTCTTAAAGTTCTCAAAAGACTCAGATTTAGTCTTTTGAAAGTACACCCATGACATCCTACTGAAGTCATCAGTGAGGAGAAAGAAATACTTACTTCCTCCTAATGATTCAGTTTGCATAGGGCCACACAAGTCAGCATGAATCAACTCCAAGCACACACTAGCCCTCCAAGACTTGCCACTTGGAAATGAACCTCTAGCCTGCTTCCCATACACACACCCTTCACAGAACTCTAACACCCCAATGCTAGGTAGTCCATGCACAAATTCCTTTGAACTTAGCAATTGTAAGCTGTGATTGTTGAGATGCCCATACCTGAGATGCCATAGTTTTGCATTTTCATCTCCTTTCACCACAAGAGCTTGGCCTGCATTTCTGGTTAGGTCCAATGGAAAGACCTTGTTCTTTCCCATTGGTATCCTCATCACCACTTCATTTTGCTTGTTTTCTTTGATAATACACATACCATCCTCAAACAGGATTCTGTAGCCACCACATATAAGCTGACCCACACTTAACAAGTTATGGGCAAGATTAGGAACATACTGCACATTATGCAGTAATTTGGGCTTTCCTTGCTCAGTTGGAAGCTCAATTGTTCCCTGTCCTTCAACTGAAAGTTGCTTGCCATCTCCAAGCCTCACCATACTCTTCTTAGAGTCATCTAGGTCCATAAACATGTCCCTAGAACTAGTCATGTGGTTTGAGCAACCACTATCCACATACCAGACTGTTTTTGCTCCATAGTCACAATTATGTTGAGCAAGGAAAAGGTTTTCGTGCTCAGCATAATTAGACTTGCTCTCAGTTCTTCCTTCTCCCTTGTCTTCTTCTTTCTTCCAGCATGAGGCCTCTTTATGGCCTGGCTTGTTGCAGTAATAGCATTTGATGGGGCTCTTGTAATTGCTCCCAGTTGGCTCCTCCTTTCTTTCAGGAGTGTAACCTCTGCCCCCTCTGCCACGACCTCTACCTCTATTGCCTCCTCTCCCACGACCTCTTCCTCTTCCTCTTGAAGATTGCTGAGTCCTATCATGGTGAGAAGTGTCAGCTTTAGCTTGAAGAGCTGTCTCATGCCTTTCTTCCTCTTTATCTTCCCTTTCTTCATAGGCCTGCAAAGAACCTTTGAGTTCATCAAAGGTGTATACCTCCATGTCCTTAGACTCCTCAATAGCTGCCACAAGATGAGAGTACTTCCTTGAAAGACACCTCAGCACCTTACTTATCACTTGTTTAGATTTAACCTCCTCTCCATAGGATCTCATCTTCTGCACAATTGATGTGATCCTAGAGAGGTAATCATTGACAGTTTCTTTGTCCTGCATCTTGGCATTCTCAAACTCCCTTCTTAGGGATTGTAGCCTGACCTCAATGACTTTCTTGTCACCCTTGTATTCCTTTTGAAGAATACTCCAAGCTTCCTTGGATGTTGAGGCTGCAGCAATCCGGGGAAAGACCTCATCATCCAAGGCTTGTTGGATGAAATAGAGAGCCTTTGCATCTTTCTTTCTTCTATCTCTCAAGGCTTGATCTGGTTCCTCCGGTTGTCCATCTTCAAACCCTTCATCAACAATGCTCCATAGCTCTTGAGACTTGAAGAGAGTCTTCATCTTCAAACTCCAAAAGTGGTAATTTGAACCCTTGAACATAGGCAATTGGGAGATTGAATTCCCATTGTTACCACCCGCAGTCTGCATTGTCTTCCACTCCTTTTTTTTTAATTTTCTTCCTCACAAATTAGGCCCACGGATAGCTCTCAAGGCTCTGATACCAAATGTTGTTCAAAGCCTGTGAAATACTATACGAATGTATAATAAAACTTGAGAAGAAAAAGAGGTATTCAAAACTCAACTCACAAAACTAATAATCAATAGGCTTTATATAGCCTTTACGAGAATGAAAACAACCAAGCACGTATAACAACTATCTCCTATAATTATGCTAAGCCAAGTATTCAAATACGTGAGTAAACAAAGACCAAATCAAATGCCTAAACTCTAGCTAACCACTTAGATTTATTCAAAACAATATTAATCAATAATAAAGAATAAACGAAGCAATATTCCAAGTGTGCATGGCCTTGAACTCCTTCGTATGCAAGCTTGATCATACTTTCAACATCACCCTCTTCTTAATCATATTCTGAACAGACTTAGGAATATCTGTAACTGCTAGAACATGTAATGGAATAGAATTTAATACATGCTTGATTAAAATAAGCCTGCCCCCTTGTGACAACCACTTCTTTTTCCACATTGAGAGCTTTTTGTCAAACATGTCTAATAGGTCTTTACAATGCTCCACTCTAGTGATTCCCTTATGAATATGAACACCAAGATACTTAAAAGGTAATTTAGAAACCTTCATTCCCAGGATGTTCTCCAAATGAAGCGTTCTAGCTGTTGTAATATGCTTGCCTACAACAAAACAAGACTTATCCTTATTAACCAATTGACCAGATGCCTGTTGGTATAGCGTCAGGAAGTCATTAAAATTCTGGACCGATTTCGACGAGCCATTTAAGAATATCATTAGGTCATCTGCAAAGGCTAGGTGAGAGACATGTGCTCCCCTTCCTAAATTATAAGGCTCAATAGACCCTTTTCTCACTAGGCAGTTTATACCTCTTGAAAAAGCTTCGGACATTAGGATGAAAAGCAATGGAGAGAGCGGATCACCTTGCTTGACTCTCCTGAAAGGCTTGAAGAAGAGGGTTGGTGTTCTTCGGCTCGTCAAGCATTGCTGGACGAAGCACGGCGAGGAATCTGAAGCCGATCTGCCACCCCCGTCTCGCTGACTTCGAAGTATGTAACATCATATTTTGTTATTTAGTAACATTTCAAATCTAAGTATGTAGCATTTAAAAAATATTTTTTGAAAATGCAGACGAAGTACAACGAATCCGTTGACAGGCAGCGTGCGGCACGAGGCTTGACGCCTTGACCCAGGAGGACGACCTCGATTCTGATGCGGATGATGAGGCGGCCATTGAGGCGGCCGGGGTTTACAAGGGCCGGGTTCCGTGCTTGGGGGCCGAGGGGCAACGGATTTTGTATGATTGAAGCACCGGCGCTTCCTCTTCTCGGTCAAGGCGGGGAGAAGGTAGTGGTCATCCGGAGGAGTTGAGGATTTTTCCCCAACTCCGGATGACCTCGATTTTTTGAGGTCATCCGGAGGAGGTAGTGGTCCACCGAGCCATGGAGCCCGAGGAGGACCCCGAGGAGCACCCCGAGGAGAAACCCGACCTGACCCTGAAGACCCCCCGTGAACCCAGATGAGTTTCTTGTTGATGATGATGATGATGATGATGAAGAAGAAGAAGAAGAAAATCCTAATTTTTTTCATAATGGAGTCCCACGAAGGGACATGTAATCATCATACATTTATACTTTGTTAAGTTTGTCACAATATTTATTAAGTTTGTTGTATGTCTTTACTCTTTAAAATGTAATTTTTTCTTTAAAAAATTAGAATAATATTTTCAATAACTCAATTTTCAAAAAACATTTTTAAATTTAATTTGTAAACATACGTATAAAAAAAGTAATTTTTAAAAACATTTTTCAAAAAAACGAAAACTGGAATGTTTTTTTTAAAAAAACAAAAATAGTAGTCACGGCCTTGTCCGTGACTACAATTAATCCGAAATTATTATTTGTTTTTAATTAAAAACATTATGTTTTTTTAAAAAAAAAAACTTAGTCACGGTCGGCACTCGTGACTAATTTCAAAAATTTATATTACAACCGCGGGCGGTCTTTTGAAAATTTTGAAAATTTGAAAATTTAGTCACGGTCCACAGCCGTGACTACTAATATTTATTTAAAAAAAAACATATAGTCACGGTCAGGAGCCGTGACTAACACGTCGGAGTGGGGTTTCCGGCATGATAATAGTCACGGTCCTTGACCGTGACTAATCCGTGACTACATTTAGTCACGGTTATGTGGCGGTGACTTCATTTAGTCACGCCCATTAAGTCACGGTATTAGTCACGGCCAGCGACCGTGACTAACTCATTTAGTCACGGAATTTTTGAACTGGCGTCCGTGACTACCTCCGTGACTACACGCGTGTTTTTTTGTAGTGATACATCCTAAGTTTTTAGGTGTTTGATAACAATGTTGCAAGTACGGTGCAAACATTTGTTTAAGGGTCTTTAACAAAAGGTGCCTATAACAATAGTGTAACACGTCGTAATTCTATTATGTACCGAGCCTAATTTAACAAAATATGCAAATATTCTTCCATTACCATTTGATTTTCAAAAGTTAATTGATACAAGAATTAAAATTGTACTACACGAAATTTGATTTTGCTGTTTGCACTTTTAATTTGCTTTCTCCGTTAAAGTAGATGTCTTGAACTCTTGAAGTATACTTATGTTTCAATACGTAAAATTGAAAGCCTGTTAAACCCGCCAACCCCAATACCCATGAGCAGCCAACCACGTCAAAGTGTGTAATGCCAACGTCGTGTAGGAGTGTAGGACAAATGCGGACATGAATCAAGACATTGTTTCTCTATATCAGGATTGATCCATGTTAACCACAAATTTAGCGCCAAGACACTCATCACATCAATAAGCGCGAAAGGACAAATCGTGCAATGAACCCACAAATTGGCTCATCAACAAATCCACAAGTGATCCGATCACCCCATAAACCCACAAAATGAGAATGCTATGATGGTCCAAGGGCCCCAAAAAAGTGTTATTGTGTTGATTTTCCATTTTCATTTCCCTATTAATTAGTTATATTTGTATGTCAGCATATACTAGCTTGGTATTAAAATTATGTCCATTTTTTCTTGATACTCGGTACAATAGTATGCAAGTTAGTATGGGGAGGTTTAGGCATGCAGCTGGAGGGCACAAAAGTTGATGGAGTTCTTGAAGTTGAGCAAGAGTAGTTATATTGTGATAGAAGAACAGCAGTTATAGAAAGATTTTCTTTTGGAAATTCCAGGTGGGTTTCAAGTGAGTTTAGCTTCTATCTGGAATTAGTTTGTTTTAAGTGAGTTATGTTTTTCGATCACTTTCTCTGTTTTTATTCATTTCATCATGTACAACAATGTAATAAATATTTATTATTCATCAACTGCCAACTTTTAATACTTGTATGTCACTTTTATTTTTGTAGGGAAATGAAACAAATCTTGAAGCTGAAGACTTATGTTGTAGACTTGAGCTGCATTTTTTAGCTTTGAAGATTAATTATGAGACTTGGTTTAAATCTACAGTTTTATCTTGGAGATTTGTTTCGTGTATCAGTTCTAATCTTATACAGTCATGTGTATTGGTTAACACTGGCGTAATCTTGTATTTCTATCATCTTCTCGAAGACTTGATCTACTTATGAATTTTTGTTTATGATTTTATGGTTTTCGGTTAACCGGTTGCGGTTAACCAAAGTTTTGGTTAACTGATAATCAGTTAAAATGTAGTAACCGATTTCTCGGTTAACCGAAAGTTGGTTAACCAAAACCCAGTTAACCGACCATGCCCAACCCTACGTACCGAAAGTTGGTTAACCAAAACCCAGTTAACCGACCATGCCCAACCCTACGTACCGTTAATCGAGTCCGACGAGTACTAGAGTGAACATCAACCATACCGAATCCAATCGGTAGGACTCCATAAGGAATTAGCTTAGGTACTATGGGCTTCTCGATTATATTTCTTACAAGTAAATCACAATATTATTTGGGCGAATTTATTGAAAGCTCAGCAAATTTAGATCGAAAGGTTTAGTAATTGGATATCATATTATCATGCATTCAAGTTTGTGGGCTTGTGCATTCATTCTGTACCGTTTCTTTTGTTTATACGAAGTATGACTTAGTGATAGGAATTTTCCATTGCTTAATGGTTGTAATTCTTTTTCTAGAATCGCCGAGTTAGCTATAATATGCATTTGTAATTTATTTGTTTATTCATTCGTTTAAATTCTATAACAATATAATTGTGTTATAGAATTGGTTAATGGTCTCAACTTTTTCTGTTTCAAAATTATTGCGTAGTACGTAATAGTATTCATTATAATACGATGGTTGAAGTGGTTCTTAAATGGAACGGGTAAAATTCTTGTTTGGTGATATTGAAATTAGTCAAATTGACTAAGAAGCCGTTAAGTAATACTGTTTTTCGGCTTATTAGGTTTATCCATCAACTTTTTCATCGAACACTTATCTTTTGTTTTCACGCGCTGAATTATGTAATAATAAGAAAAAGTAAAATCGGAGTTACTTCTTTTATGGCTAAGCTATATATGGGCTGAAGTTACTGTAGATGACCATTTTAGCTATTTTTACACATAATTTTTTCTTTATTTTATTCATAAAATATACTCCGTATTTTTTTCCTCAAATCAGCAGAATCAGCCAATGCAGTCACTTTAGCCAGAACTTCATAAATTTCAGCAAATCAACCAATTTTTGTGTTACCAAACGGACTCAAAATTATCTAAATCTGCGGTAATTTCAGCAAATTCAACAAAAACAAAAGTAACTTCAATATTTCTTATTTTAATTATTACACATTTCAGGATGAAAAAATTAAAGTTGTGTGTTTGATAAAAAAGTTGAATAATAATGCTGATAAGCCGAAAATAGAGTCGCTAAACGAAATCTTGTTTTACTTGGAAGGTGAGTAAAGACAAACGGAGGACAAATAGGGGTGGACCTATCGATTTTCGGTTCAATTTTTATCAGTATTAGTTCGGTTCGATTTGGAACGGATTGAAAGGATTATTATCAAATGAAAATCATACTACATTTATTTTTCAGTTTGAATTGGTTCAGTTCACTTTAGTTTGATTTGATTTAATTCGATTTGGATT